ATCTAATCTCTCGATCTGCTTCATATCTTAGCAATATCTGATCGTCAAATATTATTAATGGACTTTTATATATTATTTTATGTGATATGACGATCTATTTGATTAACTTCTATATCTGATCTTGCGATCTTTCTCATAATCTAGCCATATCCGATCTTCACTCAGTTAGGTATCAGTATCAAGATTATATTAATATAACTGTTATGTCTTCATATAAAGCGTTTGCTTCAATCTTTTGCTTGCCCAATGAAACATTACTCCATAAGATTGATCGTAGCTGATCTTTGAACCACATAAACAATGACACCTTTTGTGTAAGTGCTCGAGTTTTCATTTGTTACCGCATTTCTCTGCACGTCTTTTGTTCGAAGCTCGCGTCATTCCCCGAACATTACAGACTGATCGTGAGCCTTCTGATCTTGTGTAGCTTTGCGATCAATGGAAGTTTTTCCACAAGTGCCACAATTTTCATTATTTTGAGCTTTGCTTTTCATGGGCTTAATTGATCCTTAATTGACGAGGCCCAATTTATGAGAAAGGCTTATTCTGTTATGATCTGAACATTGATCTTTGTGCTGATCACCATTTTCTAGATCTACTGTGCACAGCTTGGGCTGGTAATTAATGTAAATGGAAAATGTAGGCTACTGATCTTTGAATTTTTGAGTAAACACATAAATTTCTCTTGCAACTACTCGACTTTTTGCTGTCTGCAGCATTTTCTTTCCTTATGCTTGTTAAATTTTTTTTTATTTTTTTTTGTGAAAATGTGCAGTTTTTGAGCATTTTATTTGGGTTATGTGCTGCGAACTTGTTTCTCTAATCCAGCAGCCAAACCTGCTGCCATCTCGTCTCTTAATCTCTAAGCCTGCCTGAATCTGTGCCCACTTACTTCGCCTCCTTCGCTTTGGCCTGTGCTCTCCGATAATTTCTATCAAACTGCGACGCCAACGCAAACTGTCAGCCAAATAAGTGACTTTTTTTTGTGGACTATCTGGCAAGGCCATTTTGCAGCTTGCGCAAGTTGCTCAGTGTCTCATTTCCATTTCCATTTCCATTCCACACACAGTGAGACTGGCCCACTCCCTCGATACGTGCCAAGGCGGCATCACTTGACGAAGATTGCACCTTAAATTTATTCAAAGAGCGACAACAAACTTTAACTGGAATTGCGTAAAGTTGTGAGGCCAAACATACGCGAGTGTTGAGTGCGCATTCCATCTGGTTTGTGGCACAAGTGCGCGACAATTGCGCAAACTCTTTGACATTTGCCCTCGACAATTGTCACACCCCCGCCCAAAATGGGCTCATTATCAATGCATACACAAATCAAATTCATTAGACGCCGCTTATCGCTGCGATTATCGCAACTGCCAGAGCAAACCATAACAAAGTTGTGCAAAGACACAGCTGAAGGTAATTTCTTTTACTCGTGTAACTCGGGAACTTTTCGAGTTAGAGATATGAAAATTGGTGTGTAAAAGCTCTGTTAGGAGATTTAGTTAAAATTGCCATTACTTAAATAGCATATCTGATTATTCCTCCACTTATCCATTAATACGATAAGCATGCCCATGGAACTCGGGATCTGTTAAGGTTAGAGCTCTGAAATTCCTTGACTTGTCAATAAAAATACTAAAAGTTCCCATGTAACTCGGGATCTGTAAGAGCTAAAGCTCTGGAATTAGGTATGTAGAGTCTCTATTAGAGTAGGTATGTAGAGTCTCTCCAAATGTTCCCATGTAACTTAGGATCTATAAGAGCTGAAGCTCTGGAATTTGTTATGCAAATACTCTACAAAGGGATATAGTTAAAAGTTAAATCATGGAACTCAGAATCTGTTGGAGCTACAGCTATGAAAATAGGTATGTAAAGGGTTATGTGAAATATATGGCTAAATTTTATGTCAAATACTGCAATCCTCGAGATTAAATATAAACAATACTTGTTTTCAACGAACTGAAAGAAAGGTATGCTTCATTTATGTCTGATGCTTCTAATTGAGCTTGAATGAGGGGCACATTTTGAGAAGGTGCCCTTTGAACTCGGGCTCTATATGAAAGTTAATGTCATAAAATTTGGTATGTGCACACCCCATTAATAGATATATTGAAACGTGTACAAATCTTATTGATATGCATAAGCTCGCACAATTGCAGAGTGAATCTAAATGTATTTTAAGCAAATTCACACTATTCTGCATATTTGAGCATTGCATAACGCAAGAGTTATGCAAGCTGCTAGTTCGGGGGAAAAAGGATACTTTAACACTTGGCGGTGGGCTAAGCCCACGTCGCGGCTCCGTTGCGGTGTCACAAGCGAGAGACTCGAGTGCGGTTGTTTGGTTGAAGTGCGTGATATACGCCTACGGCAGCCGCCTTTTTGGCTTCCTCAACTGTGGACGACTTCCTTGTTTTAGCCAGTTTTGTTTAACGGCGATTATGTAAGGGCGGGCGGCCAGCCACCGCCTCGAAAAGCCAAGCGAAAAGAGAGAGAGAGAGAGAGAAAAAAACAACTGATGTTTGCACGCATGCGCGCACAGTGTGCCACGCCTTAAACAAATGCCGCATGCCTTGCAACATTTTGTGTGGTTGCACAAATGAGCCGTGCCATCGACAGGGGCATCATAATACCACCAGCAGCAGCAGCAGCAGCAGCAGCCGTGAGTTATGTATCTTTGTATCTGTTGGATGTGCGCTCGATTCGCAATTTCGCATTGCAATTAAAATCGCGCAGCTTCCGCAGTGCAATGAGCCATTTGATGATCATTAACGTGACGTTAATGATGTTGCACAGCCCTGATCATTATCGCATATATATATATATATATATATATATATATATTATATATGTTGCGAGTCATCAGCGTCTAAGCTGGAACGTAATGTCCTCCCTGCCACCCTGCGCTGGCGTTGCCAGCCTGTTTGCATTTCTCGTCGCGTTTGCACTTTTACTTTTCTTATTGTCAACAAAAACGAAATACAATTGTGTAGACAGCAAAAAAAAAAAAACTTATATATTAAAAACTTTCCCAAACGTTGAGAAGGCTTTCTGTTGTTGTTGTGAAATTTTTTTTCGAGCTGCTCGTAAATTTTATTTGAATTTCTTGTTGCGATTATTATGATTAACGCGCTTATCTGAGCACATTTTTTTTTTTCGTCTGGCTTTTCAGTTTTTCCAAGCAGGTTTTTTGTGTTTCGTTTTTCGTATGATTTGTAATTTAAATTAATTTCCTACAAAGCATTTCCCACAGCTTTAATTTATTGCCGCTCGGACTCTAACGGCTTTGTTGCTTTTGTTGATAAAAGCGCATTTGATTTGTGGACACTTTTCCAAAATTGATTCCTTTGGCAAGCTGCGTTAATTTTCCTTTTATGCGCGACACGAATTGAGCTTTGTTTCATGGCTGCTTCGCGGGCTGCGAAACAAAACCGTTTGTTAACAGTAAATTGTCGAGCCTATGCCCCACTTAAGGCGTGTCTTTGTTCTCAAGTTCAAGGCGTTGTTGTTGTTGTTGCTGTTGTTCAGCCCTTGCCCCTGCCCCCCCCCCCCCCCCTTGTTTTCTATCTGCAGCCAGCACCTGTCTTGGCTGTAACCCAATCTGTTGCCACGTGCAGCAGCAGCTCGGTTTGGTAATTGGAGACAAGAACGGCACAACAGGTTGCGCCTGGTCGCTGCCACGTGCAGCTAGCAAGTTTGTTGCTTAAGTCTTTTGTTTTCTTTTTCTCTTTTTTTTTTTTTTTGTGACACATTTGGCGCTCAGCTTAGTCGCTGCTGCTGACCCAAACAAACATCCGTTTCCTGCGGTCAACACGGACGCACACGCCCACTAGCTGAACGAACCCATATTAAAGTGTGCACAGTGCACGCTCGCTAAGGCGCACCAAATTGCTAACTATGAAAATAACTTCAATTTGCAGCTTAACTGATTTGTCTTGTCTTCTAGTTGTTTCTAGAAAGTTTTTATTATATATTTGTTGCATTTCGTCCTTTGGCAGTTCACTATAATAAGCGCTCACTGTACTGTATAGACTGTAAAGGAAAGCACAATGATATTATGTATAATTATAAAATAACAAGTGCAAATCCCTTTGTTTCCGTGATTCCACTCAGGCGAGCTGAATTTGGCGAAAAGCATGAAACACGTTCACAAATAATCTTAATTAAAAGAGTTTGTTTCCCTTTTTCACGAAATTTCCACACTTGTGCGTGGAATTTCTAGAAACCTCGCCTAAGCGTGCATTAATAACGTGACATGAGCTAAGTCCAGTAAAACTAGATGCACTTTTGTTAGTCTTATCGAATTGATGTAAGTCCTCAACAGGATCGAGACTAGATCATAAGTTGGGGAACCTACTCGATAAAGTCGTTATAAGAAGAGGAATTACTTTAACTGTAACGCGACCTTTTTGAAGTCAATCAATCAGTCAATCAATCAGTTACGCAACTAGACAGTCCGTTTATAAGGTAGTCTGGGTATATAACTCTGCAGAGCTTTGTAAAATGCAGTTGACGCTAGCGTGTGCTCACTGTACTTGCAATATGCATATGAGCACGGCTTCGTTTCATTTGTCGCGCGTATCCCACGAAACAATTAACGAGCACAAAAGCTGACCGATATAAAGCGAACAGCGACAACAACAACAACAACAACAACAAGTTGACCAATTGCCGGCACTTGACTAGAAGCTGGACCCTGTCGTGGCTGTTGTTGTTGTTGTCGTCGCTTTATGAACGTGGGAAAAAAAAAGTGCACAGGCCGCGCGTCGCTTTTGTTGTTTCAAAGAGAACCGGAAATCAAAAGCCAGCGACAAAAGTGTATGCAAAAAATGCGCCCCAAATATACAAAAAAAAAAAAAAAAAAAAAATACCAAAAATTAAATGAAAAAAAATGGGTAGAAAAAATGGAAAAATAAATAACAAGCCAAAAGGTAGGCAGCGAGAGAAAATTTGTTTGCCTTCTGCTTCGCAGCATTTCGTCTTTCGCTTGACACACTCACCTATATTCTGCGCCTGCGCCTGCGTCTGTGTCTGCGTCTGCGCTGACGCCAGCAGCAGCACCAGCAGCAGCAACGGCAGCGGCAGCAGCAGCGACTGCGTGCGTTGCATTTTGTCGCTCACTTGTTGTTGATCTTCTGCTGCTGTTTCTTGTTCTTTTTTGTTTTACTTTTTGGAAACTTTTCTCCTCTAGGTTGTTTTTTCTTTTGGCTTTTTGGTTTTTTTTTTTCTTAGAATTTGCAATTTGTTTTCACACTAATTTCGCTTTGTGCTTTGCCTTTGTTTACACGTTTCTTGTTTCCTTTTAATGCGCAAAAGTTATGAATGTTTCTCGCCAGCACAATTGTAAAGAAAACACAACAAATTGTGCAGAAATCTTTTGCGATTCACGCTGCGGGCAGCTGGGCAACAGGTGTGCCTGGAAAGTGTGTCAGCCGAGCCGAACTTGTTTATCCTTTGCACACAACCAAAAAAAAAAAAATAAATAAATTTGACAAAAACAAAAACAAAAAAAAAAAAAAACAAACAGGCAAAAAAATTAATGCGCACAATTTCTCGAGCACCAGGCGCGTACCGTTAGGTCGCGTCAGACCGTTAGACGTGAAAAGTCGCGTTCGAAATTGCCAGGGCAACAATAAAGTAAATTATAAGACGCGTCGCGCTGCGCACAGTTCCGTTCGCTTGGCGTTCAGCACGGCAACTGAATTCGTGGCCGTTAGCCAAGTCGAGCTTAAGCCGACGTCGCCTCGACTCTCTCTCTCTCTCTCTCTCTCTCACACACTCTCTCGATGACACGAAGACGCACGCGCAGCCGAAGCAATACGAAGATGTTTTCTTTCACTTTTCACGTTTGGCATGCGCACAGGCGCTCTCTTGCTCTCTCTTTCTCTCTGTGTCTTATGTTGTTCTTGCTTTTGCAGCTGTGGTCGAAAAACCAACCGTCGTCTCGTGCAGCTCGAAAGCAACTGAAAGTTCGCGTCGACGCGTTGTGCGTCTTGTAAGCTGTCAGCGTCGCAGCGCTGCATGCGTGCTGCCCGCTGCTTGCTGCTGGCTGCGCTGCCGCCTGCTGCGCAGCCACTTGCTGCGCTTTTGGTAAGTGGGCAAAGCTCGCACAGACGAAGCTTAGGGCTTTCGATGCGTTTGCTCTATCGATCAATGGCAAATTGTTGGCCAAGAAAGTTGCCACTCGCCGTCGCGCTGTGGATGCCACAAAACGGTAATAACAACTAATACAGGTTATGCAACTGCGGCAACTGCGGCAACTGCTGGCCAAGTGCTCTGGCCACTGCACCAAATTGCAGCCGCAGCACAAATAATTCTTTGTGGCAAGTTGTGGACTTGCCCGCGAACGTTGCCGTTGCACAAGCATTTGCATGCCACAGCAACAACAGCAAGAACAACAACAACTGCAACAGCTTTAAGTATGCCAAATGGTCAGCAAATTGGAGCAGCCATCGATGCCAGCATTTGGAGCAGTTGCTGCCACTACCACAAAAAAAAAAAGCAGAAAAAAGAAAACCGGCCAACGCACAATTTGTGTGTGGCACATTTGGGCCAAAATGCAAGACCCGAAAAGGCACCCCTCCCCAAAAGAATATGCTAACAAACCGGCGGTGACATCTGCGATTCGCATGCCCCATATCGGGTATGCCCGGCTGCCCGCGGAGAGGCTGCCAGAATTTGGCTGTTCTTGTTGCCTTTTAAGGCTAAAATGCGGCAATGCTAGCCGCTTAGAGCTTTAAACAGGCTGATTATGATACAAAAAACAAGCCAACAACTTGGTTAGCCACTTTTTTTTCACCCATTTAATAGAACGTGATATAATTATAGGGAATCGAAATAAGAATTTTATATATACAAGTTCCAATTGGAAATGAGAGCAGAGGAAACATTTTGTGTAGAAGCTATCTTGAGGATAAACCAAGCGCTACTTGTATGCTGGAAGTCTAGGACTTGCTGAAAAATTTGGTAAGTTATTTGGTCAGATATGGGCTTATGTCAGCTTAGGCTTTGTATATAATGTTGAAAAACTTTCTTTTTTAATGCATTGAAAATCATTAACAGACCGTTTACAATGAACTTTACAAGTCAGTTTACAAGTCATTAATTTTATTCTATGTATTTAGCCTCGACCAGGTATCATGGCACTCCAGGTGCCCTCTTTAAATCTGAAAGCTCTGGGGGCATTTGCAACGAACTTTACAAGTTAGAATATTTACCAATTTGGGTTTTTCCTTGGCTATGCATTTATGAAATTCAAGCTACAATTATATTATATATGTTATTTCAAAATTGTCTAACTTAATTCCTTAGCCAAGCTCTGAGTCGTTCCACATGGAGATCGGCTGTCATTTGATTGAGCCATTGTGCAAGGTAGTTTGGTTTATGGGCTGAGCGTTGGTTCTGTGCTGGATCTGTTCTAGCGAGAGAAGAATGAACATCATAATTGGCCAGGCGAACGATCATTTGGTTACAGCCATTTGAGTCAAGTAAATGAGTTTGTTGCTGTGCTGTGCTGTGCTTGGATGTGCTTTACTCGGTTCGCTTTTGGAGCATTGGCTTGGCGAATTGTCATCACATTTTTGCGTGTTGTTTGTGCTTTTAACCCAGTTTTAAATGCTGCTGCAGCGGCAAAAACAATGAAAACGTTGCCGCAAGTGATGACAGCGGCAACAACAAGCACACTGATTGCAACATTTTGTTTAGCCAGCAGCCACTCATCAAGTTGTCAACTGCCAATAGAACTGGGCGCAGCAGCTGCTCCATTTCCATTACGGTGTTTAAGTTTGACAAAAAAAAAAAACCATGACTTGCATCGTTTCTAACCTTATTCTTTGCTTGGCGCCACCTGTCGCACATATTGCCTGAAAATGCCATCTTAAACCAAGCTTCCTGAGTGCTCTGTCAGGTACTAATTTAATCATATTGTGGAAAAATTTAGATGGGAGTCAAATTTCGATTCCATTCATTCCTAACCTAAACTTCTGCGTGGCGCCACCTTTTGTACGTAATGCCTGAAACGTTTACATAAGGCTTATCTACCTGAGTGAGCTGTTAGACGCTAATCTAATCATGTTGTAGGTCAATAAAGTTAACTAGGGAATTGAATTCCGATTCCATGAAGGAAATGTCAGACAATAAAGTTAACTAGGAAGTTGAATTTCGATTGAATTCATTCCTAACCTCACTCTCTGCGTGGCGCCACCTGCCGCTTGCTCAAGTTCAGCTTATATAATGCTGTTTGAATGCCCTGCAACTAGTTGCCAAATCGAATTGTGTTCTCTAACACAAGCAACAAGTGTTTTGGCGATTGTTTCATTTCCAATCATTCCTAACCTTATTTACATGACGCGTCACAATTAACGTTAGACACTTCTCTTTGAGGTTATGTGCTTCACTACAAAAGACGCTTTGTGGCTTGCAGTTAACTGTAATGCACCGTGCGTTAGACAAACGAATGAGATTTGATTCGGAGGTAATTTCATTGTGTGCGTGGCGCCACCTGTTGTACGCGCTGCTCAACTCGTTGGGGTTAGGTTAAGCACTCTGAATGCCCAGTTAACAGTTAACTAATCATATTGTGCCTATGACTGCAGAAACATTTAATTAGACAATGAGGAAACGGCTTTTGGCACGGGCTGAACCAGCCAGGCAACAGCTCCGGCTGTTGATGGGCCAGCTACCAGGTAGCCGCCCAATTGTTACGCTTGGCGGCGGCGGCGGCGGCAGCGGTGGTCAATGTGGTCAGTGGCTGGATGCAGCGGCTCAGCGGCACGTGGGCCACAGACGCCCACCAGGAAATCAACTGAAGCGCACGCAACAACTACAGCCAAGAATGTTGGCCCAAACCAAACTAACTTGGCCCGCTCTCCTTGTGGCAATACCCCTCCCCCACAACTGGCAAACGTGCCGCAGCCGGCCAAGCACGACGAATTGCTGCATTTGCGTTCACGATGCTCAATTAAGAGTGAGCCCCGCTTCTCTCGCTTCTCCTGCTGCTCTGCTCGCCCGACAGTTCCAGTTCTAGAGCCACTCGCCCCCCTTGCTCACTCCCCTGTCCCCCCTGCTCTAGCCTGTTGCCGCTTCATTTTCTATTTAGTGCTTTATTATTTTTAATTTCCAGCAAAGTCTGAAGATTAATGTTCTGAGTCGCTGCTTGCCAGCTGCCAACTCTAAGTCGCAGCGCCCAGAAACAGTTCTGCTGCTGCTTCTTGTTCTTGTTCTTCTTCTTGAACTGGTAGCTACCGCATGTGGCGCATGTGCAGCAGTTGCCCTGCAGCTCCCCTGACACAGCGCATGCTGTGCCACGAGCCAAATGCTTGGAAAATGGGTTTGCAATGTTTGCGCCATTTTCAATTTTCCATTTTCAATTCCAAGCGCAAGAAACGGACAGTTTCCTGGCAAGTTCGGTTTTGACTTTAGATTTACATTATAAAGTTGCATCATAATTAATAAACTTTTTGGATTAGCTTATTTGCTCTAGCCAATAATGTAACAGCGCGCATTTCAGTGTTGAAAAACTGTTAAAGATAAACTTGAAAAAGGTTTGAAAGAGCCAAGTAGTGCGTCTTAAGCTGCATTAAGTATGGTTTACTATTTGGCCAGTTGGCTTGAAACGCTTATCATGAAATATAACAGTCTATAACAATCTGGAACAGTGTTGAGAAGAGCCACAAGCTAGCTTGACTTCTAGTGTTTGAAAGACACAAAAAAAAATGAAAAATAAGTCTTAACAGTGTAGAAAAAAGTAAATTATAAAAATAGATAAATCAATTTTAAAAAACACAATTTCAATTGAAATGAATGAAAACAAGATACGGAAACGTGTTATATGCAGTGTTGGTTAACGTCTAAATATAAGCATTAACAGTGCTGAAAAAGGCTAACTTGTAAATAAAATCTGTATTCTTAAATTATTTTATATACAAAAGAATGTTACATAAGCAACATACAGAAATTTGTCATATGCAGTGTGGAAGAACATGTAAATACAGGCTTAAACAGTGTTGGAAACAGCCGAAACCAGTGAATATATGTAAAGAAGCTGCTAAAGCAATTACGCAATTCAATTACCTGCTGCGGATTGGACTCATTGGACTCAAGTGTGTGTAGATTTTGGACGCCTTTCGCACCACTGTGCGCCCACATTTTGTGTGGTAAGCGTTGGCCCAACTGTGGCTAAGTTGCCAAATTCAAATTTAAGCCACAGCTTCCCCGTTGCTGGGCGTTCGTAAGTGTGGCTAAAGTCAATGTGGTTATTACTTAAACACCGTGAATAGCCACGCAAAGTGGGGCTAAGACAAAAAGTGACTGCACTTTTGAGTCCACTTGGACAGCTATGCGGGAACACAGCCCACAACAGCCACAAAATTGTTGCAAAAATTAAAGTGAAATGAAACGAAAGTAAAAATTTGTTATTGTTAACTGTTGTTGGCGTCCGTTGTTAAAGCCCTAAACAACAAGAGCAACCACTCGAGCTCGAGCTGCCTCCCTTGTTACAGTTAAGTATTTGCAAACATTTCAGCCGTGGACGAACTGTGGCTCGTAATGGACGACTGCAAGCAATCTACCCAGCTAGGTGAAATGCCTGCCCAGCGCAGAATTCAACAATGTTACATAAACAGCAACCACAACGATCAAAACAGCAGCAGCATTGCGTGTGACAGCGACAACAATAAACAAGAGCTACTCTAGTGGGATGTGCCCGACCGTGAGATACCCTCAACCCGGACCCTATAACAGACGCTGCAAATACTATATTCTATATATATATCTATATACTTTCTTAGCTATGCTACAATAACTTGGCTATTTACAGTCCGATCTTTATGAAAATTTCAGAGCTTAAAAATGGGGCATTCCAAATACTGAAACTTTACTGTTTCAAATGTGCATATATCAATCAAATGTTGAATCGAAGTATGTTAAGAAAAAAAGAGTTATTCCTCTTTTTGTGTATTATATGAGAGCCTATATACCATGTTTTATGTAGCTAGCTCTTATATTCCTCGAGCTAAGCTCCAATAACCATGACTTCAAATCGACAATTATTGATTTAACGAGAAATCAGGCGTTATATGGTTTAGGATTAGTCTCTAGCCAGTTCGCTTCAAAACTTGACAGGGTTCGAACTTCTGACTGTTTCATATATGCGCACACAATCTTCATGCCCCTACGCTCATTTCCTAACGGACTTAGGGTATAACAAAACATTGCAAAAATATCATAAAATACACAAAAAACCATTGAGTGCTATGACTGGAAGGAGGAGGATGGGGGGGGGGGGGGGGGCAAGTGGGACAGCCAAAGTAGAGTAGTCGAGTCGAGCCACCGGCCGGCTGGACAAATCTTCAGGTTGCGTTGGAGTCTAACAGATTGACTTTGTCGGGCAGTTGCTGTTGTTGTTGTTGCTGTTGTTGTTGCTGCTGCTGTTGTTATTGCTGCTGATGGTTGTGTCACACTTAATAATGGGGCAAGCAACTGTAACAGCAACTCATTTCATTTCAAATAAAAAGATGACATTTTTGTCTTGCTTTTCTTTCAGTTTTGTTTTCCTTTGTTTTTCCCCAACGCATTGAGCCACATACCAAATAATAATAATGATAACAACAACAGCAACAACAAATATAACAACAACAGCAGCAACAACAACAATACACAATAACATAAATCACATTTTAGAATAAAAGTCAACGCGTTGTGAATGCCCTTACAAGCACATTAATATATATATGTACATATATATAGATCTCTATATATACAACAGTTTTCCCTGACTGACTGACTGATTCGTAATCAATGCATAGACCAAGCTGCAAGAGCTATGAACTGACTATTTTCACAATATACTAGATGCCTTATGTTTTGTGTACATGTGTGTATGTATATGTGCATATCTGCATGTTTGCATGCATGTTTGCTTGCATGTACGGCTGTATGTATGCATGTGTGTATGTAAGTTTGCATGCATGTACGTATGTATGTATGTTTGTGTGTATGTATGTATGTATATGTGTATGTATGTATGTATGTGTGTATGTATGTATGTTTGTGTGTATATATGTATGTCTGCATGTATGTGTGTATGTATATATGTGTATGTAGGTGTGTTTGTATGTATGTATGTATGTATGTATGTATGTATGTGTGTTTGTATATATGTGTATTTCTTTGTATGCATGTAGTATATATGTATATATGTATGTATGTATGTATGTTTATGTGCACGCTTGTTTGTATGTATGTATACATATGTCTATCTATATGATTGTATGTATATACATATGTATGTAAGCATGCATATATATTTATCTGTAGGCATGAGTGTGTCTGTATGTACTGATGTATTTATGCATATACATGTGTACGTAGATTAGTGAGTGTATGTGTATGTGTATAAATATGTTTGCATGTGTGAATTATGTATGTGTATATTTTATAATGAATATAATAAAATGTATGTATGTATACTAATATTTATATGTGTTTGCATGTATGTATGTGTGTGCACGTGTGTATGCATGTATATATGTAAATATCATATATGAACTTATATATGTTAATAAATGTATGCATAAAATTTGTATGTTAATATGGATATTAAAAAAAAAACGTATTATTAACTAATGCCCTACTATGCGATTCTCATGAATTTAAGTAAGTCGCATATATTTGACTTCGAGTAGTCTTGGAGGAGGCGGCTTTCTATAGAGGAGATTGGCAATATGGGAGGAGGCGACTGCAGCTTGAGCAAAGGAGGAGGAAACGGCTTCAACTATTGAGGAGACTGCGTCTTTAATATGGGAGGAGGCGGCGGCTTTAACTTTGGAGGATGCGGCTACTTCAGGAGGCAGCCTTCAACTATGAAGGAGGCGATAGCTATGGCTTTGGCGGAGGGTGCGACATAAATTTTAAATGTGGCCATCGAAAAAACTGGTAAGTATTTTGAATAAAACTATTTCTCGGCTTATGTTACAACAATTAAAATTGTGTGTACTGCTCTACTTCGCGATTCTCACTTATTTGAGTAAGGCTGAAGCAAGCTAGCTGCGTTTTTAAACAAATAAACATTTATTCTTCTTTTTTGTTTTTTCAGTGATGTCTTTATGTAAAGGTTCGAGATCCACCTACTGACGAGCAAATAATCATGCATGAGAATTTACAGGTGAGTGCGTAAGTGTACTCCTTAAAAATCAATTCGTCCATTTTGCTATAAATGGTGTTCAATGATTTTCTGGCTAAAGGTAAACGTTTCAATTAATTTCCAAATATGTTTATGAACAGTAATTTGAGACGTGTTTCACACTTTTAATATATGAATATGATTCAAGTAATTGCGTATTTAATTGTTTTAAGTAATTGATCGATATTTGTTAGTGTTATCGAAAGTATTATTGACTCTTCTGCGCAAGGTAATTAAACTCTTTGCCTGCATCTTACTTGCCCAAGCGCTTGAACTCTGTTGGACTCGGCTCATGCGATGCTTGCCACAATTTGTGGCAATAGCTCAGCGTCGCTCACTTCATTTGGCTTTGACTTTGGCCCTAATCAACGCCGAAGGAAGTTGGCGTCAACTGGGCAAAAGTTCTGTGTAAGTTCGTTGCCTCAGTCTTTTGTTTTTTAGTTTGTCTTGCTTTTGGTTTTTTGCCTGTTGACGCGCCCAACAGCGTCTGTCTTTGCCACTTGGGCATGCCGGACACGTGTGCCACGCCCCGCTTAACCCTTATGTGCCGCGCTTTTGCCAATTTGACATTTTTATTGATGTTGTCTACGTGCTTATTGACCGCCTGATGCCAACTTTCATTTTGTTAATTCAATTTTGGAGGAATGAAAAGTTTTTCCATTTAGAAATTTTTCGCGCAATTTGAGCACTTTCGATGCCAAATTACAGAGCTACTGTTGCTGCTTTGGTTGTTGTTGTTGTTGTTGATGTTTTGGTTGGGCCTAGGCAGAATTTATGGTTCGTTAGGCTCCTAAGTGCTCGCCCCAGCTGAGTTATTGGGCTGCCAACACCTGATGCGATCTGGCTGCGCTGTGAGCTGCAAAGCCTAACTGTTTGTTTTTCTTACTTTATTTTTATGCTTAAGCTTTTGTTTTTTTTCTCTCCTGTTGTTGTTGTTGTCGTTGTTGTTGTCTGACCAACTGGCCGGGCAATTAACGCATTCCACGCATTGCCCAGTGACCCGTGCCCCCCTCCCCCTCGCCCACCTCTCATATACAGCTCCTCGCTATTTTAAAAGCGCGCTCAGCGTTGCTTGAAAGCATAAGAAATCAAAACAAGTGAAAATATACGTGCACGACTACGCAATACCCTGTAGTCAACAAATGGAATATATCCTGTAGCTGGAAGGATTGGGAAACCACCCGCAACCAGATTTTGCGACCTTGATTGAGAAATATATCGTTGCTAGAGTCTGCACGACTAAATGATACCCTGTGAGCGGACTAAGACTACGAGGCATACTGTACTAGAGACTTTTCTGCGCCTGTTTCAATGTACCTGACCTGGAGATACTCTATAAGCAGGCTTAGACTCTTTTCGAGTGCTCAACTACCAAATACCCTGCAGGCAAGGGACTCAACTCGCCTACGCTACCCTGTAAGCTGTTTGCTCGACTGTCGTCGAATACCTCATCAATATACCCTATTGTAAGCAGCTGAAAGCCTACAGGGTATGCAGAAAAATATGCAAATAAATTGTTGTGTGTGAGGCGAGTCTTCAAGCTGCTTAGCTGCCCGCTGCCTACTTGAAACTTATGATTATGGCCTGGCCAAAAACCAAAACAACAACGGCAACAAAAGCAACAACAACAGACGCGAAAGAGTTTCTAAAAGCTGCTTTTTCGGGGCTGTTGCTGTTGCTGCTGCGGGTCAATAGACGCACGTCAAGCGACAGCAACAGCGACAACAATTTGTGTGTCAATAATTTATTTTAGGAATCGGAATCGGAATCGCTGCGAACTAAACGAGGTCAGGAGAAAGTCACTGCACAGCAGCAACAACAACTACAGTAAACACTTGTCGCTTGTTGCTAAATTGGCTGAAATTATGATTAGTTGTTGCTGCTGTTGCCGCTGCGGCGAGGATTGCAAGTTGTCAGCGAATCGAGACGTGTGACGAATGGCCTGGAAGTGCAGCCAATGCAGCCAGCTGGAGGAGCACAGCAGCAACTGCAGCAGCAACAATTGCCACATTTCCGCATCGCATCGCCAGCCGTGAAAGCTGCACCTGAAGATGGGTCGCAAGGTCAGCCTCACAAAATCCCGCTGCCAAAATGTCAACTAGCCCTCCCTTCTCTGTTTAAGCCAGCTCTCCGACTAACAACAAACAGACAGTCAGTCCATTGCCATCTGACATCGCAGCTCAACAATTGCGCATACGCCCCGTTTTTGGTTTTCAAATGGTGGGAAACACAAACAGACGACAGCGATAACAATGCAACAGCAGCAACAACAATGGTTGCAACAACAACAGCAACAACAAGGACAGGAAAAGTAGCAGCAATAACAGCAGCAACAGCAGTAGCAATAGCAGTCAAAATAGCAACAACTGCAACATCAACAGCAGCAGCAGCAACAGGAATAGCAGCAACGAGAGGAACAACAGCAGCATCAGTAACAACACCTGCTGCTACAACAGCAGCAACATCAACCGCAGCAACAGTAACAGCAGGAACAACAACATCAACCACAGCAGAATCAGCAACAACAAGAACAACAGCAACAGCAGCAATAGCAGCAGCAATAACAGTCCAAATAACAACAACTGCAACATCAACAGCAGCAGCAGCAACGAGAGGAACAACAGCAGCATCAGTAACAACACCTGCTACCACAACAGCAGCAACATCAACCGCAGCAACATCAACAGCAGCAACAGCAACATCAACCACAGCAGAATCAGCAACAACAACAAGAACAACAGCAACAGCAGCAATAGCAGCAGCAATAACATTCAAAATAACAACAACTGCAACATCAACAGCAGCAGCAGCAGCAGCAAAAGGAATAGCAGCAACGGGAGGAACAACAGCAGCATCAGCACCAACACCTGCAGCTACTACAGCAGCAACAGCAACAGCAGCAACATCAACCGCAGCAACATCAACAGCAGCAGCAGCAACAACAGCAATAGCAGCTACAACAGCAACACCTGTGGCTACAACAGCAGCAACATCAAGAGCAACAGTAACACCAGCAATTGCCGCAACAACATCTGCAGCAACAATGACAGCAGCAGCAGCAGCAGCAACAATAGCACTAAATAGCAGCTTATCATTGCAATATCAGTAAAATCCGAAATGGAGATGAAAATGAAAAAGCTGCACCTTTTTTGATCAACGTATACTGTATGCCCTGCCAAAAGAGTTAACACATGGATTAACTTGGTCGGTTTTCCCTTTGAATCATGAAAAGTACATTTTTGTGTACCAGGCAAAGAAGAATCTCAGGCATCTCTCTTGTTAAGAACGAGCTGGAACAATTAATTTTGTGATTGGTTGACTTTTGATTGAGAATATATATATATATGCTCGCAGAACAAGCTTATCATTTGATAAAGCATTTGGTAGATGCGATTTTTTTTGGGCGAATTTAGGAACTCGGGTTATCTTTAGTCTTACGATATTTGTGCGCCTGCTCTCGGGCGTAACAAGCTGCAGGCCGAAGCGAACCAACCCGATTTGAAGGGCTTGTTGGTGTTGAGGGGCAATAAACAAAAGCTGCAAATGCCACAAATTACACATGTGAAAAATGAAAATGAAAATGGACGCGAAAATGAAAACGAAAACTGAAAAAAATTGTGCAAGTGACAATTGCCAAGTACATGAATGCGTGTGTGTGTGTGTTGGTGTTCATATGCGAAATGCAGTAAATATAATTTACGATATGGCCAAATGTCGTCTTGATGACCCGCTCATTAAAAGTGAGACAGAAAAACAAATAACAAACGAACAAGTGGAAACAACTGGAAACTGGAAAACCAAAAGACTTCGAGAGCGACAGAGGGGAGCTAGGGAAGGGGGGTTGGGCAGAAAAAATGATCAACATCATCATCATCATCGTCGCCATGACAAATGCGTGAGAAAAACAACTTTTTTTTTTGTGGAACTCAACGCAATATGCTCTATAAATTATGGGGGAATGGAGAAAAGGTAAATCTACAAATAGCTAAAAGAAATGTTTTGCCACAGAGGCCCGAAATTGTAGATCAAAGAGCTGCAAAACGATTTTCCGACAAACAGTGCAAAGACTGTGTCTTCCATAAATAAGGTGAGAAGAATTGTCGAACGGAAAGATTCAGACTGCGAAACTTGGACTTCAAATATTGTGGACTCAAGAATATGTAAGCAAAGCTAGATAGGAGGAAGGAAGGAAAAAGAGGGGGCAGGGCTTCGGTAGGAGGGAAGAGAGCAGAGTCTAGTGAAAGCAAAAAAAATCGTTGAGATGGTTTGAGTTCTTCGAGGATCGAAAATGAGCATGAACTCTGCCTGTAAATAATAAATTGAGCTCCGATGGAAAAGGAATATAAATAACATAAGATAAAAGAATTGTGGGAAACATAAGATCTTACTATTCCATCGATCTTTTCTATAGATATGATAGATAATGATATAATGAGCAGATGTTGACAAGATTCTGCATATATCTGGGAATCATAATGCAACTAATTTATCCCGAGTTTCTTAATATAAGAAGAAAAAGGTGTTCATATCAGAGCCAACTTTTTGAGCGATCTTTCCTATGGCAGCTATATGATATAGTATTTCGATCAGGGCCGATCTATGTACTGCCTGCGATAGAAAGACGGAGAAAATGCAATCTAATTGTGTTTAATATTTGATGAATAGAGGAAAATAAAAGTTTAGCTGCTTGAGTTTATCGTGTAGAACTCCAAATCTCTGTATGCTCTATAAACCATCAAATAAACAATAAGAAATATATAACAAAAAACTTTCGCTTAGAATTCCAAAAATTTGCAGATCGAAGAATTAAGATTGGGGAAAGATGCGGTGCAGCAGTTGAAGAAAGTGCTGGAAAACGAGAGTCGTTACGGCAAAAATGCTTTGATGTGGTTCGCGGCGCAGCTTGACAAAAGAAGAGAGCGAGAGAGAGCGACAGAGAGAGAGAGAGAGACAGAGAGAGAGAGGCCATAGAAACTTACTCTGAAATTGGTTCAATCTGTGTGCTATGATTTTTATCAGCCATAATGTCTGTACGTTTAATGGCTACAAGTAACCCATCTCCCCCCTTTCCATACTCTGCCTGCCGCCCCCCCCCCTTGCTCTTTGAAGCCAACCCCCGCTCCGTGCCCGTCGACGTCTCTGGACCGTGCTTTGCTGCCCTGATTGAATGGCCGTGTGGCATTTTTAGTGTGCCAAATGTGCAGTCATGAAATTTACGTTCTTATGACTATCAACACACATGCATCTCGCACACACACACACACACACACACACACACACATTACACTTCCCTCCCCTTGAAGAGTCTGTCGCCCCCCTCGTGGCGAGGGGCTGGCTGTGCGCTGAGGCATTTGAGCTGATTCTCTTTGAATGTGGCCGCTGTTTAATTGTTTCATTTGCCATTTGCCGCGTGCTTTCCTCATTCCATCCAAGTATCTCTGAGTATCTGAGCAGCTGAGTATCTGAGCAATTGACAAGTGCCACAGTTGCGGTTGCCGTTCGTTGAAATTACTTAATAAAAGTGAAACTAACTGTCAGAGACGACAATCATAAAAAGTAAAGAAGAAGAAGAAGCAGTTAACCAAAACTAGTTTCCACTCGATTCGATTCGAGTCGGGCAACAAAAGTTTTCTAAACGGAAAACGAGAGTGAAATCTTCAGCCGGTCAAGTGCTTTAGCTTGTGCCCAGAAAGCAAGAACAACTGAACCAACCTTTGCCCAGTTCAGGCTTCAAAAGATGCGTTTAATGCGCACAAATGATGCACTCGGGCATACCCTGTACTTGGCATGGTCAGCTAAGTTGATCACAAGCCTTTTATACTTATTTAAGTACAAATTAATTTGCCATGAAAAAATACATGAATCGGTCGTGGTTTGTGATCATACTCGACTGGCGGATACCCTGTATAACTCTTGTGCTTGTATGTCTGTTCTAAGAACATGCTTAAAAGGCATTTGGCATTTGAGTAAATAGACAGTGCCTGTAAGGCCTGCATGCAAACATGATCGACTAGCGTATACCCTGTAGGCAATTAATGACGTCATTCTATCGTGTGCATAATTCATTCTATCGTGGCCAAAAGCTATTTAATAATAGTGAAGAAGAATGACCGTATATAAATAGAGCGGGCATGCTCGACTAGCATATACCCTGCAGCAAATCTACATTTATCCCATATACATGATTATTTCGTTTGAAATTTGCCAAGACAGTGCCAAACGAAAACAAGAACGATCGCCTAGCGTATACCCTGTAAAACAATATTATTGTATATCTGTGTTAGCGAATATTACTACATAATAGTAAGTAACATTATTATTAAATTACCCTAGCATGAAATTAACTTTCTTAAAAGCCTCGTACTCCAAGTTACCTAAGGTTCATATCCGCTTAGTTAGTTAGATTTCAGCTTTTCATAAGTATACCTAAACAAATACCGTAAGAAATGAATTTCTAGCAATTTTCGAGTTGGCCGCTAGAGACGTTTTTTCAACGAACTTTAATAGATCCCCAGTTCGAACGGAAGAGCAGGTACTATATATAGATGCGATTGTTGTGCTCATGACAAATGCGTTAGCATGTGTCATGATGCTGAAATATGCCGCACTTTGCGAGCACTTTATGGCCGTAGCCCAGCTCACATAAAACAAATCAACGAGCGGAAATGCCGATATCAACAGCAAGTTTGTGTTCTAAGTCATTTGTTTTTTTTTTGTTTTGTTTTTTGCCCCTTTTGGCTCTGCAAAAAACCAACCGTTGGTCAAGGGAACTGGGGAAGGTGCCTGCGTGCAAGCTTGCGGCGCCTTATTCACAACGTTTGGCACCATTGCCAAAGGGCCGGGTAATGGATGAAGCGGGAGGGCGGAAGGGGGGAACTTTCACTTTACAAAAATGTGAACAACGGCGACGACGACGCGACATGGAAATGAAAATTTATTAGCAAATTATGATTTCTGTGGCCAAGGCAGGCGGGCAACTGACCACTTGACCACTTGACCAGCCAGCAACAACAACAACAACAACAAAATCAACAGCAGCAACAGCAGCAGTAGCAGCAACAACAACAACAGCCACAATTGAACGGCGAATGAACTCGAGGGAACAACAATTCAGGGCAGCCCAGGAACGTGACTGTCGCCAGAATTGAGCCCACGGATGAAAGAAAGTTGTTTTTTTTTTTTGCGCTTCTTTTTCATTTCGCTGCAGCCAAAACTTTGTTTATCATACCCTGTACACAGCGAGCGCCAAAAAGGGGTATACAACAAGCTGCAGTCGGAAATTCGCGAACATCTTTTCTTATATAAAAAAGTATATGCCAGAGTGCTTTAGTTGAAATGCGCGACTAGGGAATGCCCTGCATATTCTTTAGCAAACACCAAAGGCAGCTCGCATTAGGAGGGAGGTATATGATAAATACTTGATAAATATATACTGTTAGAAGCTACATGATATCATTTTGTGACCCCAGCTACAAGATTTGCAACAGAAACAGAATTTCGATATCCATTTTTATCGATTGCTTGGAAACGCGGCAAGTTATCGATTATTGGAAACAAGTTCGTACTGAGCGGGCACTATAAGAGTCTACGTTCAAAATTCTTCGAGTCTAGCTCTTATGGGTTTCAATAACCTGGCGTTCAGACCGACAGACAGACTATTCGTTCTGATCAAGAATATATATACTTTATATTCTCGGAGATGCTTCCGTCTGGCTGTTATATACTCTCATTTGCAATGGGTAATGGGTAGCTATTTTTTCTCATATTTATCAGGAAAAGCCTTCTAGCTCAACATAAGCTGTTTTGGCTTTAAGTGTGCGCTGTTTACAGGGTATTTGCTGGTCGTGTTCTCTGGCCCAAATAACATTTGGTTGGGCTTTTGTTTTTTGGCTTGGCCTTTGAGTCATGAGCTGGCAATGCGAGCTCGAACCAAAATGAA